CCCGACCCACAGGTAGTAGTGTCAGTCTGGATGTAGCACATTAAACCAGGTAATAAACCTACCCAAAGTCTAGCTGGGGCCAAAACCAGAAATGGTAATATTAAAACAAAACAGAACTGAACTGCAAATATACCCTGTTACCACAGACAAAAATTTAATCTGCTGAAACACGATGACTTTTAAGGTCATAACTCAAGATTTAATATTTCAACATGAAAAGAAATTCAAGCCGTTCGACTTATTTGGGCTTCTGAAAGAAATGCAAAATGTCTCTGTTTAAAAATTGCTCGTAAATGAGAAAAACAAATCAATATATATTAATTTATCACCCAAAATAAAAAAAAAACCGTAACACACTCTTCATTTTAGAGCATGCTGCTCATTCAGAATAAAGACAGGACGAGGAAAGTAGAAGTACATTGCATGATGTAATAAAAACATTAAAATTTGTGATCATTAAGTGCACCATCGTACAGGAGTAGCGTGCTCAGAGTGGAAATGTTCTATACCTACCAGAATCCATCTTTATTAAAGCAAACAAATCTTTAGGACGCTACCTGAAACTGAAATCAGAAATAACTGTGCTCCGTTCAGCTTGCCTTAAGTTTCAGTCAGGTATTTTCCAGCTAGTAGCACCTGGATGCCTCTTCATGATTGTATTCCAGGAATCTTTACATCTGCGAACCATTTTTATCTAAAAAAAGACTGGCTTTTGCAATCCTTGCAATGCTTATCCTAAACAGATACTGCAAGTAAACTCTGTTCTGAGCAGCACGAGTTGGGGCTTTTTTTTTTTCAGAAATCGGAGAGCTGGACTTAGGTTGGCAGTAGATACAGTACAACAATTGGATGTATTAAATAGTTCCTCAAAAAAGTCTGAAAGGAAGATTTCCCTAAAGACTGTTTAAAAAAACCAAATCAAACCAAACCCAAAACACTTCACCCGAGATCTGTTCAATCAATCCTTCTCCTGAAGTTTGGAGCTTGCCAACTTTAAGAATGGCAGGGAAAAGGAGAGAGCGAGGTGGAGAGGAAACAGAACGAATTTATTCCCAATTTGTACCGATGAAAAGCTTCAAGTAAAAGGAAATCCACTTGTTAAAGATCCTGCTACATGCACAGTCCCTCATCAGTTGAAAGCCACAGTAGTTAGCATTGGGTGTAACAGCAGATTTATCATTCATAAAAAAACACTGGCAACGTTCCTTCATTCTTAATAACTTGCATCCACGGTTTCTGTTTAGAAGCTTCTTAAAAAGTGTTTATGGTTCTGCACATTTCATACCAAACAGGAGGGAAATAGTAAACGTGTCTTCTTTCGACACAATCCCATTCGGTGATCCTTTCCCCAAGAACTCAGTGTCATTTACGAGTCTGAGTCTTCTTTGGCACTGCAGGTCGCTTGGCTTGCCACAAGTGGTTATGGATAGTGAGAGCATCCACGCTGACAGACATGGTTTTGGCTGGAATCACGTTAAACTGTTTTCTGTCCGAACTGTACTTATAAAGTTTGTCAATCATTTTCTTGGTGATGCTCTTTGGCCCTGTTCCCGTCAGCTTGTAGATCTCTTCAGTGTCAGGATAGTAGCAGTAAAGTGCTCTAAACTGGCAGCCAGCATCCCGGAACAAAATGATGTAGTGGTTGGCATCACATTTTTCTAGTTCCTGCATTTAAAAACAAGCAAACGTATCCACAGATTGGTCACAGTGAAAATTCCCGTGTTATGCCAAACTTTCAGCTTTGGTATATAGCTGAGTAAGCGTTTAAAGATTATTTTAAACCCTACAGCAGTAACTATGATTCGTCAGTCCTTCCACAGGCTTACACTACAGGAAGATGTTTTCCCCAAGCCCATACAGTCATGGGACGTAAAAGATTCTCAAGAAAAGCACATTTTAGGCAATGGCATCAGTGGGGTTAGGAAACGAGGATTACAGATGCATCTTAGTGTGAGTGCATTAATAGCTTTGTATTTTAATGTTTACCTCCAATATTGAATTCTTATGCGGTTCATTCACTTTTCCAGCAAGACAGCAATGAGATATAGCATTGTGAATAATGTGTTTGTTTGATTTGCTGCTGGGTTCCTTAAATAATTTTGGACCTAAGGAAGATAAAGAAGTCAAAATTATTTGCCCTACATTTCTGAGCATCCAGTTTTTCAATCATCAAAAGTAGAAAAAAAAAAACCCTTAATTTTTTTCTACAGTAACTTGAAGATGTTAAACAGAAAACACTTGATGATAACTCAAAAATAACAATGTCAAATACACCACAGCTTTTTACCTTGCTATTCATAACAGATGCGCAAATTAAAGCAAAACAGTCACCTGTGTATTCTGCCACTGAAGCAATAGAAGATGCTGTGGAAGCATTCTCCCAGTCTCTTTCTGTGTTTCTGCTAGGATTTCTGCTCAGTATTGGTAAGGACTCCATAGATTCAACTCTGTTGGGGAAAAGAAACACTTAAATAAAATATAATAAAAATAATTTAAAGAAAAAAGCCAAGATGTTTTTTCCCCTTCTAATCTTCAATCAACTCATCCGTCACTGGCCCCGAATCGAGCAGGCTATTGTCCCTTTTCCTCCTCCAAAACAGTCCCGTTCTCCCTGCTAGGTTATTAAAGCAAAAATTCTATTATTCTTTAGGGAGAAAACAAAATTACAAGTTTGTACAGAACACCGGAGTTGGCAGCCACATAAAACAGAAGATGAATTCACCAACTGCTATTGTGCCTCTATGCTGGCGAGCTAAAGCAAACAACACTGAATCCCAACGCTATTTCATAACATGGTAAAAAAAAATTAAAGAATAAAATGAAGCCTCTCTCTTCACCTCTGAGATGGCGTGCCACCAGAGTGCACGCTTTCGGGTTCAGTTGTTGCTGCAGAGGCCAAAGACAGACTGGAACCAGACTGAGCACTGCTCAAATTATCAGCTACGAAACAAAATAGAGAGAAAAATGTGAAACACATTTTGTTACAGCAGACTTGCAGGCTCTGTGAGAGCAAACAAATCAGTGTCATTACGTGTGGAAGAACACTTTGTCCCTGAATCACTGTAGGATTCTTCACGATGGACCGACTTCGGTCTGGGTTTTTTGGGCTTTGTTTTGGGCTTTCCAAGTCCCTGCTCCTCCAAAATTTGCTGCTGTTTTTTCCTTAGATACTCTTGCTTGATGAGTTCTCTTCGAGCTTTCTCCTCTTCTTTCCGTATTCGGTCCTCCTCAGCTTTGCGACTGAAAAGGAAACACATTACATTCAACACACAATAATTTTCCTCATCTTAAAAAGTATTCTTTTCCACACGTTATTACCGAGCTTCATCTCTTTTTTGTTCAACTTCAGCCTCCAGCTGCTGTTTCCGAATCCGAGCCTCCTCAGCTTTGCGCTGCTGTTTTAAGAGGAACGCTGCACGTTTTTTTGCGAGCTCATCTTCTGCTTTCTGTTCATCCTGCAAAATTCACAGGGATAGAGAGTATTAAAGAAAATCGATTAAGCTGGACATCACAAGACTGCTGAGGATTCCAGGAAGATTTCAGGAAAACATAAGCTATTACTTAAGACATTAAATTCTTCCCGTTGCACTCTGTGATTCTTTTGTGCTAAGTATTTACAATGTTTGGGTTTCTTCTATTTAAGAAATAAAGGAAAAAAGAAGAAAAGCAAAGTTAATCCCGGTTCCTAGTAAAGTTAATGAGACCGGATTTCATAAGTTAAATCAAAAAATCTTCTCTCCACAAGCAATTTTTTTTTCCAACGCCCTTTTTAAAAAATCCTAATATTGCAACCAGGATGTACTGCTTTCCACCAGAACACTGAAGAATGAAGTGGAAAAAACTTCTAATGCTGGGTAAATGTGTGACAATAACCAAATACACACAGGTAATGTATCTACCTTGAAGAAGAACCCCACACCAGACTTCTGGTCGCCTTCACTAATGATATCTGTAGAGCTATCCTGGCTTTCAAGTTCTCCTTCATCTGGAGCTTTTAAGTCCGACAAGTCCACTTCGATGAGATTGGCCTTGCTTCTCAGGGGCTCATCCACTGGGACATTTTCTTTTCCTGAGCCATCAGAAGAATTCAACCCCGTTTCCTTGAAGCTGTTATTCACCTCTTTGCTCATTTCAGAAATAATATTTGCATCTTTGGAGGTGGAGAGAATGAGTGCCCGTTGATTGCTCTCATCGTGAAGTCTGTAGGTGTCAAAGAAACACTTTTCTTGAGAACCACTTCCAAGATCAGGACTGCTTTCCAAGCTGATTTCTGTCGGCGTCTTTGACAAGCTATTGGATGGAAATGGTCTTAAATGTGGTAAAGTTTCTAGACTTGGCGTCGGGGTTTTAACACGTGTCGAATTTTGTTGTCTGTCCTTTGCGACCTTCAGATCAGCCGGTCTTCCTGACCGAGGACCCCTTCCTTGACCAAATCGAGGTGGTTTACGAAGACTGTTCAATCCAGTTGGAGACAGAGGCTCAACAAAATGAATTGATGGTTTTATCTTTTGGTCCTGAGAGTTACTTCTGGTTCCTGGTGATGGCACTGATGGAGATTTCATAAGCAGTTCCTGTTGCTGAGAAATCTTTAAGATAGCCTGCTGAAGTGTACTGATTGTTTCGTTTAGTTTCTCAATAGAAAGATCACATTCATTTATATCCACTTCAGTAACATTGTCTTCTAGGAGGGCAACAGAAATAATTTTACTTTTTTCCAAATCATGGAGAGCAGCAGAGTCTTTTGGTTTATGTTGCTCAGCAAAAGCTATGCTTTCTTGCATTTTTACTTTTGTTACCTCTTGAGAGTCATTAAGCATTTCTTCTCTCTCCTCCTCTTTGACAAGAAACTCCTCGGATTTGGAACCCAAAGAAACTTCATCCAACTCTTCACCATTGTGCCGAGAATATTCTTTCGCAAAATGTTCTGGTTTGAGTGCCTGTGGAACATCAGGAGATTTCCCTTTTTTAACAACGTGCAAGAAAGCTGCCTTGCCCAATTTTAGTCGTTGCCTTGCTGATAAGGCTTCCATCTTCTTCTTCTGAGCTTCTATTGCCCTTCGTTTCTCTTCCAACTGCATATGAAGCTGCGCCAATTCAGAAGCTAAAAGATTAACATTATCTTTATTTTGTCTGTTGGGACTTTGTTCTCGCTTTTGTTTCCATGTGGTCAGTGGTGCTGGGCAGCTTTCTGATCCATCTGGTGTGGTCTTTTGTGAACTACTTGTGCTGGACTTTGTTTCATAGCTATTTAGCCTCTGAAGCTTCCGTTCTGCAAAATTGGTCATTCGGACACTCCCGCTAGCCACTGACACACTGCTAACTTGAGAAATTGTACTCAAACAGGGGCTGGAACGCCCACTAGCATCATCCTTATCTTCATGTTCTTTTACCTTCATATCTTCCTGCAGTTTTGCAGATTCTTCCTCACCGATGTATTTAGCGACGATAGGATGGTCATCGAGGACTACCAAATCCTGCTCAGCATCTTCTATGTCTAAGAGATCTGAATCAGAGTCCTGTCTCACCATAGTCCACGTAGTATCCGGAACACGCAGGTTGAGGCTTTTCACATAACTTACATTGACTTTACCCGCTATGTCATCATCAGATTTAGCAGCATGAAGAAAAAATCCTCCAGAGGACAGCTCCTGAGCGGAGGGATCTAAACTGCTACTCGCCAAAGGTCTAGAAGCTTCCAACCCTGCTTCCAGCAAAGCCACCGAGTCTGCAGCGCTAGGATCTGGAACTGGAGTGAAATCAGAACTGGAAATCGGAGTAAAAGTCCTATTGAGGTCATGGTCACGGTCACCATGACTGCTATTTGTTTTCTTGCGAATCAAAGACAAGTGTCCCTCGTTTAATCTCTTTGTTATAAAACTCCTTTGTTTCCCTTCCCCACATTCATCCTCTTTATTGATTATCTGTTTTTCCTTTGCTGGTTTTAGTATAGCAGGCATTAAGGGCTCCAAGTGAAAACTGTCCGGTTTGCTTTCTAAAGTCTCGCTATTTGTTTTTGGAGACCACGCACTTGCAACTATGCTGGGCACCCTGGCTGAGGCATTCGGCAATTCAGGATCACCACGGTTTGGCCTTTCTTCAGATCTGATTATTGCAATAAGTTCCTCATCTTCATCCTCAATTTCAACGTTGTTCAGCAAGCTCTTCCCGTTCGTTTTCGTTGATGTAGGATGCGGCTGATTTTTCGGAGTGACATTAACAATGTTTGAAGCAAGACTGTCCTTGCTGATTGATCTAGCCAGACTAATGCTGTCACCAGACCCAGGGTCCACATCACTGCTGGCAGAATGATGAAGAGCAAATGGTGTTGGCTGAGACAGAGGCCTAGAAAAGATAAGTTACAATCTGTTGAACGAAGGACCATGATATAGACAGCTAAAATTCTTTCCTCCATTTGAAAAATGTATCCTGTATCAAAAGTGTCCAGCAATACTAAATAGCAACTCCAGATACTTAAATTTACAACAGTGCTTACTGACAATCACAACCCTAAAATCAGTCATTTCTGGAAATGTGCATTAAAAGAAAACAAATTTAAGCAACTCTTGGTCCCGTTTTAAGGAAGTGATGCCACATTACCACAATGAAATTTTCACAGTGTCCTTTCATTAAGCACTGTTGTCATACTGAAATGCATGGGTTACCTGGGTTTCCTCTCTGGCCATGCAAGAATTGAACCTCGTGGCTGCCCATCAACACGGGTCAGAGAATTGGAACGATGACGATGACCTGAAATGTGTTTTAAATGGTTAACTATTTAGAAATGGTCTTTAAACCAGCACTTTTACAGGTATTTAATAGCAAACATAATAAACTCCTTCACCAAGAGATGGCAGCAGAAAACAAATTTGCTGAAATATTAACCAAAGCCAGACAGGCAAAGCTTGAAAAAAGACTGCTAGGCTTATGAACAAGTGGCTTTTTCCGTACAGAAAGGAATTCACAGAATTGACATTATTAGTCTCAGTTCTTTCACTTGAGATCCTGAGAAATAAGCTCATTCATGAGAGGAAAAATTAAAAAAATCTAAAATCCAGTAACTTTCTTAATAGATCTTTAAAATCTTTTAATACAGACAAAGATGATTTATGCAAACTAAACACGCTTGCCACTTGACTGACTGCAGTTTAATTCCATTTTAGATCATTCACACTTACGAAATGTCATTTTTATTCATTACTGTATTGACACTGATGGTGACTGCCTGTTGAAACGCAAATTCAAGGCAGACTTACCAGGGCTGTCTTCTCCCTGTAAAGATTTTTGCTGCTTTTGTCTCAAAGGGAGCAGTGGATGGGAAGGGCTAAAGGCAGGGCTTCCTCCTTTACCACTGATTCAGAAAAGCAAAAATTCATTACTATTTTTTTTCTATAATGAGAAATTATATCGTTGCAAAGTTACACTGGTAATAGCTACCCCCGCCCTCTTTAAAACACAATAATATATCATTAATTTTAATGTTGAAGAAGTTACTTAAAGAGAATAAAAGGTTTTCACATTTAACAACGCAAAAGTAAACCTACTGCCTGAAATCAAACCTTTTAAGCTTCTAAATACAGCAGAATTAAAATGTAGCTTATGTAAACAGTACATTAGAGACAAAGTAAAGGCCGAAACAACTTGCCATTGAACTTAGGCCAGCTGAAAAACCTTGTCATTAATCTTCTTGTACATTATTAACCTATTTAAGGTTTGATTTTTTTTCTCATCATCATTCATAGAACACAGCTAGTAAAGATGAGCTCCTTGAAGAGTTCTTATGTTTCACATTTTTTTCAAAACAGAAATTAGACTAACTTCATCTGTAACACAATGGTGACATTTACTGGTGGGGTTTACTGGCATTTGCCAAACAAAGCTCAAACATACCAGTGCAAAGCATTTCTCTGAACTCGAGAACTGAGAATACTTTAGAGACTGCACACAACTCAAATTCAGCCAATTTGCAGCAAAATCAGAACACTTAGCAGCTGAAATTCCTAGGTTATCCAGACTGAATCATAAATTGAAGGTCAGTCTAAACAATATGAAACCAGACTTACAGATAGTCAGGCTCCTCGGGGTGCAGGTAGTACCTACTGCAAGCTTCAGGGCCTGCCTGAGCCGAGGGCTGCAGCTCCGCGGGACTCGTGGTAGCGGGGCTGGCCATGAAACTGCGCTTGGTTGCATTGGAAATAGGAACAGGCGGGCGACTGCTCTTTTGCTGCAACACTGTTTTAACTGTACACACATATATAACATTAATACAACCTATAGTGGCCGTTAAAATAGCAAAACAGAATGGGAAAAGTGTTCAGACTGCAGTATGTTAGAATGAAAACTTTACGACACAACACTAAAATGAAACCTTAAGGATTAGTCTTTATTTAAAATATGTATCTTAGGTGGCCTTAATGGAAAGAAAGTTACAATTAAGCAATTATTTTAGGGAAAAAAAATTACCTCATTCAAAAAATTAGAACTCAAGTGGATCTAGGATTAGCTTTCCTTCCATTTTTACTGCTTCCAAAGATCCCCAGCAAGCAGAAAGTGTGGGTAAAAACAAAACTCCAAAGGAAACACCACTGTGCAGTTTCACTACAATGAAAGTATTTTTTAAATAACACGCTAGCATTTATCAAGAGCTAAAAAACTTACCATCTTTTATTTCCTGAATATCTCGTGGTTGTACAAAGTCTGGTTTGACATTCTCAAACCACCAGAAGAGTTCCGCAATGAAGACCATGACGTTAGGCTAAAACGGAAAAAACAGGAAAAAACACAGCTCACAGTCATAAAATACTTACGATTTACCTCACTTTATTTTAAAATATATCCTTCATTATGTTTCTTACCTTTAAAACCAAAGGAGCATATAACATGTCCTCCAATGTGAGGTAAAAGCATTTGTTTAGATACTCATTTGAGAATTCTCTCAAGAGTTGAATATTATAGAGGCTGTCTGCAATTGATGTTACCTCCTTCAAACAAATATCTAGAAAGGTGAGAAAGAGGAGTAAAAACACCATTCCAGTGCATTAACCTTCCACCTACAGCTAACAGGAACACTGCACACAGGAACTTCACAGACTGCTTATGCACCAGTATTGAATATTCATTGGCTCCCCGTGACATTTCTCTACCTCTTAAATACCAGAGTGCTTTAAAAAGGAGGAAGAAAACCACAAATAAAACAGTACCAATTTTGCGTTCATTTTAGAATCCAGATAGGATTCTGTCTGTCACAGCAACAGAAAAGGTAAGCAGGCTACAAAGAACACACACAATGACAAAATGCAAAAGCAATTAAAAACAAACACCCTCATTCGCAAATAGTAAAAGGTTACTCCTAGGATTCACAGTGCTAGTTCCTTCTGAAACCATTCAGGAGCTCTGCAAGGTACAACATGTCTGAGAATTTAGAAACCAATACAGAATGAGGATTTGTAGAGGCTAAATGCAACAAGGACATTGAATTATTAAAAAAAACAACCAACACCATTATCTGGGAAATAGAACTCATGTTTGTGCTGAAGAGTGACAACTGCTGAAGCCTGGGAGAAACTATTTTAAAATCTAGATTTTAAAACGTCAAATTACATACTCCTGCAGAAGAACATAAGAAGGATCAGCTAATAGTAGTCCAGCACCTATTAGACGCGTCACATTTTTATTTGATAATGTATTTCTAGTTCAGTTTTCAAAGACTGAAGAAACGTTTGGTGTTTTTTTAGAAACCTTTATTACATACCATCTAATTTCATATGCTCCGGACAATAATAGTGTATCACAGCTAGAAGAGCAGCACCATCACTGCCATCCTTCATCAAGTCTTCAAGCAAAGGAAAGTACGGCAATTGCCTGCTTGAAAGATGGTCTCTTCGGTAACGCACCTAACGAAAGAAAGCAAGGGTTCATATGATGGCAACAAGAGGGGAAAACAGAAAGAAAAGGAATTTTTGTTAAGCATTGGAAACTCTTTACGGTGGATCCTTTACAGCATTCTGCTCTCAGTCAAAAAACAATTTACAGCTTGTACTTTACTCTCAATGGAAGCCAATTCTGAAGAATACAGTGCTCCCCTTTTAACCGTTCTCCTTGTATCTGGAAGCATCCTAGCGCCATTCACACATTTTAACTTATTACAAGCAATTTAAGTAAAAATCCTTCCACACAGATGCATGAATGCAGCAGATCCAAAGAAAGAGACACAGGTAACTAGGTGAAAACATTTAAAAGCTTGGGGGAAAAAAAGACAACAAACAAAAACCCAAAAGAGAGCAAAAAATAATTCAGATGAGTTGGTGATTTCTCATACATCCACAGACTTGCCATCATGTCCACAGACAGCAAAGATCTCTCAGAGAGATTCAGAACATCGTATGTCTGCAAGCCAGTACACAAATACTAACGTCATGCAAAAGAAGAAAACATGGCCTTTTCCAAAAACAGTCAGCGAGAGGAGCAAGAAGGCCTTTGAAATCAACGGCAAATCTCTCCTTGATTTCACTAGAAATCAACGTCTCACCTTTCTGCAAACCACCCCCCAGCCCTCACATAATGTGGAGCACAGCTGAAGAGCAGTTAAAAGCCAGTCAACTAAAGAACAAATCTTGGCATTGCTTCTTGCAGTTTTTGCAAGAGAAGTTTTGGTGTTGGGACTTACTAAGCACCCACACAGCAGCTAGGCTGGAAGGCTGTATCTAAGTTTGAGCAGCAAAGCGGTCGGGCAAGCAAATGAATGATGAATGCACTACAGAGCCTGGCAGGAACACCTTTCAGTGCTGGAAAAAGATTGCTTTTACACTCTAGAGCTTTACTGCCACTGAGCATCTAACAACAAACTGTCTCGACTGATGGGCTGGCCTAACATGCAGATACACAGAGAATGCATTTAATCGTTAGAGGAAAGTTGGATTTTACCAATGGTATCACACGCCTCCCAGGACAGCCTGGGAAAGCTCTACACAAACACACACAGACTCATACGTGGAATTCAGGATGGCACAGGCTGAGAAAAAATACGTTCAAAGGAACAACGATCACTTACAATCAGAGTAATAAGAACCCGTTTCATTTATTTATTTGGCACAAATATAAACGTGCTACATTAACTTCCCTGGCAAAGGCAAGCAACTCTAAAAACTAAGTCTACATGCTAATGCTAGTCTTCCTGTCCTTTTACCAGGTGTAAGTTATGTTTTTCCCCAGCCTGGAGCACTCCACAAATATGTAATGGAATGTGAATCATACTGTACCACTCGAGCATACTCCACTGGTTCCAGCATGCAGTGCGACACGGCATGCATCAGATCAGGCTTACACAAAAAGAAACAGTGAGACACACGATGGTGATTATTCAAATACGAACATCAAATCAAAATGCATCAGCAACATCCATTATGCACTGGAAATGTGGTCATTAAGTCCAATAAAGTAAGGATGCACACTAAGGTGAACTGGGTAGCTTAAAAGGTTCATTTATCCACTTAGTCAAAGTAAGCATTTAGAGATAAACTTCAGAAACTTCTTTCTAAATTTTAATTTCTCCTGTATGCAAAGTAGATGCAAATATTTCCTTTCCAATAAGCTTAAATGGAATTTAAACCAACTACAATCAATACTGAGAACTAAAATCCTTGTTTATTTTAGCCTTGGTGAAGAAACAAATTTATCAAGGAGTTTTTTTAGTGGACTTAATTTATTACTTTTTACTAAACTAGTATTCTCATAACCATTCAGTCTTTTACACTGAAAAATTCTGAATTCTTTCCTATAGTCTAAGCCAAGATTTGTGGTTTGTTCTCCTCCTCCATACATACAATGACATTTGTATGCATTGAAGTGCAGAAATGGGTGCTACTGCAATACAGATAACTATACTTAAAAAAAAAACACCACACAACAGAAGAAATGTACAAGTGACACAGTGTGACAACTGCTATGGAGACTGCAAAACCTGTCAGTAAACCAGCATGATCTAAGTGGTAATGGACCAGCAGTGAGACAACCTCGATTTACTCCTTCCTTTACACCCAACTTACTCAGCAACATCCCACAACTCAATTCCATCCATAAAAGATAAGGGAGAGGAGTGGGACTGAGCTCTCTGTGGAAAGGCAGAGATTTTGGGGACAGGTGATGGCCCCGTCAAGTCTGCTGTGTCCAAGAGCGCTGCTCTTTGAGATCTGCAGCTGAAACAACAGCTCTCACCTCCCCAGAGAGAAAACGAAAACCACCAAATCCAGACGAGGGCTATCAAGGCTAAGGAAAGCAAAGGAACGATGAAAAACCTCTGCAAGTTGAAATAAAGCCAGGAAACTTGGCCAAAAGCAAGAAGGCTTGTATTTTAGAAGTATAATTTTATTCTTTTATATATAAAAAAATAAAGAATATAAGAGTGGAATTGATATTCCATTTTCATACTTCACCATAAAGAAAAGAAGTATTTTGTTCTGATATGTAAACTGTCTTTCCTCCCCTTGTGCCAGCTCCAGTCTCGCTAATTTACCACACAATTCCAGCAACCATCCTAACGGGTCCAGACTGGTTTGTCAAATCTTCTCACCCCATCTCAATGAATAACTGTGTTCTGGTTTTACAAACCTGTGCAAGAGCATTATTTAATGAACTTCCACAAACAGTTGGGTATCTTAACTATGAATTCAAAGACTATGCAACCATTTAAACTGACCAGCTTTTATATCACCTTAGTGCTGTGATGAATTGCCTACTTATAACTAAAATAGTAAATGCAACCACTCCAACTGTTATTTATTTTCTAGTTTTTTTGCTGCTACTCCATTCCCCTCACTCCTGCACTGTGGAAACAATTTTGAAATGCTGTAAAGTGATTACACTATATGCTGCATAGTATGCAAAAATCATGTTATGAAAACTAAGCCTGAGGACCCAAAAGTTTCTAGAAGTTTGGTTTTGTTATTTTAAAAGACTGCCTAAGAAACGTTGTAATGGACGCAAACACTGAAGAAATTTAAAAAGCGATGATTTTGTGGATGACAACTGGTGTAAAAGTAGTTCACTTACAGGTACTAATTTCCAATACCATTTGGAAGGAGACTGCTCAGGAAGCAAGGAAAGGAACGTAGGAATAGGAAAGGAACATCAGCAATGCAAGTTAAAAGCAGTAATATTTAAATGCACTTCAGCAATAAACACTTTCATATTTTAGAGAGGTTGCAGCCCAGAAATTTAGATTTAAAAATATTAAAATGAGACCCAAAAGTCAATACAGAATCAAAAAGTGAAAGAGATCCTTCAGATCACAACTCTTAAATTAAACAGCTCTGTAGCCCCTTACCATCGAAGGAGATTGTTTTACAGAAAAAGCACATAAAAAAACCTTTGCCACTAACAGTAAACAATTGTGCCTTGTTCACATGTCATATTTCAATCCCCTCTGCACACCAACGCCAATTGGAGGCAAGAACGTAGTTTTTCTTAAGGCTTGATTAAATCATAAATTGGGAGCTCAGGTAGCTGAGATACATTATAGCTGAGAAAGATCTCTTTTACATTCTCCAGAAATGAAAGTGTACTATATTTTGCAATGCTAGTGCATTGTGATATAACTTCAAGGGAAAAAGGTGGAAAATACTACAAACACACACATATAACATTTGAATGCCAAGAGTATGCTTACTAGATAGAACTTGAGTAAGGTTCTGAATATACATTAGACAATTAACCCATGCAAAATGAGCATGACCCACGAGCTTTCAAAATATGTAACATATATTTTGTGCTGTGAAAGCCGAGTCGTATTTATCCACGTAAAGTTGACACAAGTTCTTTTAAGTTGAAACAAGTTATTTTAGTTCAACTGAAACATACAGGAAAGTCAGAAGATACCAGTGGGCTTGAAAGGAAAGGAAGGGCACTGATGATAGACTCAAACAAATGGCATGCACAACATCTCACAAGTTTCAAGGACTGGATGCCTCATTTCTCTGACAAAGAAAATACTCAGGTACTTATATTTAAACCCATTAATCATCAATATAGAAAATATCAACTGAAGACAAATCTGTTTTACCTTTTGGTGTCCTGGACTTTCCATTAGTTGCTGTTTTAATTTAATCTCTTTTTCTGTTATCTCTCTCATTTTAAGGTTCACCTAAAAGGGCACAGCATAGAAAAGATATTAAAATACCTCTGAATATACGTTTCCAAAAGTCAAGTTTTCTTCTTCCTCCCCTTACTTAATGATCAATCCATTCTACAAAGTTCATAGAACAATGTGTTACAACAGTTTTCATGACCAACTATGTTACTGGCAGTAGCTACAATCGCAACAAGGTAATCCTGGGTTTGCCAGGAGCCATCCTCTTTGGAAGGTGACTCTGTGTCACTCTAAAGGGTTTCAGTAACTTAACCTCCACCCTGTGAAATGTTTCAATATTTCTGTTAAATGTATCCAAGCTAGTCAGAATTGAGTCTGTTATTTAATGTGAAACAAAGCATCACTTAAAATAAAAAACCCTCATGGCAGCTTGTCTGAAAATAAAGAACCCCATTTCTACAGTTTTCCTAACATAGTTCTTAATTATCTTCATTTTAAAACTTTCTTGAAAAATGTACCAGCTTTACTGCAGCATTCCTAAGAAAAAGAAACTGCATTTCCCTGCTAGTCTGATTCTCTTTCCCAATGTATATGGAAACTGTGGGAAGTCAAGCAGTAAGATGAAATCAGGATATGTTGCAGTAGTAAGGGAATCAAGTACCACTAATAATAGTCTGTATTAGGAGGATCCAAAACCAACTACCATTGGATTTGAGGTAACAAGTAACAACACGGTAATTAAAGCAGTTCTCTTCTGAAGTGGAAAAGATGATAGAAATGCACAGGTAGGAAAGATGGAAGGAAAACGGTCATCAGAACTTTTTTAAAAATCTGAAAAGTGACACTAAGAAACAGCATGTTTTTCTCAAAGTAAATTTTACCTTGTTAATCCAGAAAACCATTGCATCCTCCAAATCATAGGGCAGTTCTTTTGAGGCACTGAATGTAGAGAAACGCTTGACGCTAGCAACCACCTTTTCAATGCTGATCATTTCCACAGTATAGGCCATCATTAGAGCATCGATCATTGCCATGTGAGAACTCTGAAAGAAGAAAACAACGAGCATGGAAAAATAAAATCCTTTAAGAAAAAAAAATTACATACACTAACTGTACTTAAAATGAAAAATTCCTGAGGTTAGTGACCTAGAAATTAAGAGCTCTTCATTCTATTAACTATTTTAACTAGCGTTAAATAAAAAGAAGATCATTAGGTGGATTTAATTAAGCTAACCATTTTGATTGGTGCACAGCCCAGATCAGATTCAGACACAGGTGTATCATCACTCTCCATGACGTAAATCCCTTTTCGAGACAGAGCCTGGATCACCGACTGGTGTCCCTGCAGCGCAGCCACCTGATCCCCCTTCAGAATGAGGCTGCAGACACGGCAGTACAGCTCACTGGACAGCAGCAGCTTGATGACCGGGGGTTTAATGTGCTCCTGCTCATACTGGTCTATGTAAAATGGGTCCTTCAGCTCCTCTGGGACATTGTCTGAAACAACAAAGAAAAGTTTCGACACGTGGCATCAGTTATAAACAGAAGGAAACATCTTCACTTAAATTCAAAGATAGCATGTGAAAGAACAATAAAAATATATCAAGCATGAAAAACACAATGTTATTAAGTCAGCAGTTTCGTATTGCAAATAGTTTGCAATAGGCCTTTGTGCTTACAGTTAAGGAAAGCAGATACAGTTGGCTCTCGCCATGTACATACTTGAATAAAAATCCTATACGTGACCAGTCAGCTTTGTCGAGAGTCCCTTTCAAGAAAGCACTTCAACACAGACAGAAGTCCCACTGTCCTCTACCCATCTCTACCCGTTTCCCTGAATAGGAAGCAGCTTAATCCCAACGATACACTATCACCTCATTAGTGCATATTATTAGTACTTGAATTTTATTTGGAATTATAAATCATTTACTTGGATCACAGTTTAAAATGCTCTGTGTATCAGATGGGCAAAGTATACGTAACTTCAAAGCAAAATTTACAGCTGCTTCAAGCAATATCCCAAAACACACGTGCATAGCAATTAAATAACTGCAACACTCAGTCACTAAGAGGGGCCAGCCAAACACTGATAAAGTGTACAGTAGTTCTAAACCACTAAAGTTTATAGAAAGACCAAAATACCTGACTAAAACCTTGAGCCTTCTACAAACGGTTTGTAAAACACTGGCGTCTCCAGTGAGTTGAGTGTCTGTGCTTTTGAAGACAGAAGTATTGAAGCAACTACTGCAGCTTTTCAGCCTTTATATAAAAATTAAAGCCTATGAAGCAAAACCATTCCACGTAGATTTGGATTCAACATGAATTTTAAACCAAGTCTAAAATTAACTCCTTTTGGAATGGCAGTTTCCACAAGTTGTCTCGTGGTTTTATCAAACCAAACACAGATCCTGAATGTAGTAATTTAGAGACAAGTTAAAATAAACAATACAGAAGACTTCATCCTCACACAGCACTTCTTCCCCACCACTTCCCAACCCTCATAGACTTCCACTTTTGCTACAGATCAGCGCAGCTTCATAGCTGGCAGGAAAGGAAGGCCCTAACAGCAACTACCTAAATATATATAAATATATATAAAATATTCTGATCACTCTAAACACGTCAAAGGCATTTCACATCCATACATTGGTAGATGAAGCACTGCCGGTGCTAAGGGTTGTAACACAACACACAGCAAATGTAAACTGTTCATAAGAGTTGAAAGTGAAAGGAAATGCTGCTGTAAGCAATAGGTTCTTGATATTATTGAAAAGACATCAAACAAGTTAAAAATAGCTCTGTCCCAAAATAAATCTTTCTATTCATATTCAGCAATCAGACTAGAAGCTATTGATCTTTATAATAACCAGCAGTCTTCCACTCCAGGAAATAAACTTTCTAGCCTCAAGCGTGTTGTCTTAATAGAAGCCTGACAATTCATAGTTTTCAAACATAAAATTCTATCTTATGCTATCCAGTCACTTCGAAGATCTTCCCCAGAAGTCACTTCAACAGTTCATTTTAAATACGTACATCTACACTTTGAAGAATTATTAATTTGGCAGTGTATTTACTTTTCATTCAGCTCATTTCCAGAATAATTAAATTTCCCCATTCGAAAAAGCTCCTACCCATAGCATCTCTTCGAACTGCAAAATAATTTGTGCACTGCATTTAATGTTCATAAAGAGAAGCTGAGACACAATGTTATCAATTACATGCGCCAGAAGGACACCTCACTCGAATAAAAATATGTAGTAGAACAGTGTTGTTGCGACAGTTCTAACAGCTTCTCAGTTAGTCATACAGTACTGCCCCTACTTCTTAAAATGGAAAGCTTTTCTAAGTTTTTAAAAATTAATATCCCAGTTTTTCCTTGACGTGACACTGAATGCTGTGACATATGGACTATATACTGAAGACGGTTGGAAGAGACACAATAAAACTCCACTGGCACTACACAAGTAGCATTTGTTACTGTGGGTATCCATTTTCAGTGGAAATGGATACTAAATTCAAATATTTTTAATCTTCTTAACATTAGTCAACCCGACCTAAAATCAAAGGCTGTTGAAAGCTAATTCCATTTAACAGTCATTGCCACTTCCAGAAGGAGAACTCGAGCTTCCATTTCTAAAGACTGAGGAAAGATCCAAAAATCAAAGCATAAAGCAGCTCACAATTCAACATCTTAGCTTCATTATATGCACCTACACCTTTAACAATCAAAGATACATTGCTTTTTACCAGAACTATTTGTGAAAGGAAATAGTAGAATACTAGCTTATAAAATATCCATTAAGTAGCACATTCAGCAAGAGCTTTAGCACCACTGCTAGTTTTAAAGGCTTAAAAAAAAATTATGCAAATTTGAGATGTCTGAAATGTGAAGTACTTAGAGGAGGGGTTTAGCAGGAACATCTGCCCTCCACCAGCTCCAGGGTCCCCGCAGCGCAGGGCAGCCGAGGTGACCGGTTGAGAGGATGGACAAAGAGCCCTGAACCTCCGCACAGCACACATGGCTCAGCCGGGCCTCTTCAGAGCCCTTTTCCACATGGCAGACTGTGATTATTTTATAGTTCATAACTACAGAAAGCAAAAAGCATTCTCAGCACTAACATACCAAGTGATACAATCTATCTTTACACAAACTATTAAAACTGTTGGAATACGATGCTCAGCTTCCTGCGTAGCAGTGGCACTAAGAATTCCCACATTAATTTTCATTTAAACTGGCAATATTGGAATGATTTTTGAAAGCCTTTTCAAAGCTTATAAATGGATCTAGTTCTTCATTATGAGAATCCATATATATATATATATATACACACACACCTCATCTCTTGGTTACCATTCTTTAGTCTGAACATCCAGTCAAGGGATCTGAAATCTTTTAATCTTTTTCTTCTGTACTGAAGAAGCCCCTAACTTCCTGTTTCTGATCTCCATATAATTGTTTAAGGACTTAATGGATTTGGATTGACCAAGGTTAAAGATACAGGGGTGTGGAAGGGAATTACTTCTACTACCAGGACTAATAATTTGAATGCTATCATAAGAAGTTACTTGGTAAACATTAATCCTCCCATAATTGCAACCTATTTCATTGTAAACACTTGTCAACTTTCATTTTCTACGTGATGTACACAACACTTCTGCTGACTAAATTTGTGTATCTGTGACAGAAATGAACAGTTTTGTAGCTACTTTGATGTCCTGACTAAAGGCCCACAGTTCTAAGATGTAAAAACCACAAAAAGAACTCAAGACCTCTAATACTAATATTAGTTAGTTATTACTAACATTAGTTAGTAATTAACTATTTAATTCAAATGTACTATGTATCGGACATAATCATACAACCCACACGGCAGACACAAATAAATGATAAATAAATGGCAGGAAAAGCTGTAATGCAAAAAGGATGCTATAGAAGTACAGAACAGAGTTGAGAAACTTCCCAAAATCATAGCTGTAGATGGACTGCACACAATGCCATTACCACAAACAGAGTAACACAGCCTTCCTAGAGAGCCACAGAGGGAAAAAAAAAAGCGCTCTAATTGTGAGATATCTTCAATATCTGAAATCTGCATCTGAAAGTGCAACATAAGAGAGCTATCTAATCTTTCACATCTCTGCTAATTACTTTTATCTGTGGTATAACTCCACATAAACCACTTGCAGCACCCAGGTCTGCTCATGACCCAAAACTCCCTTAAAAATGTCAAAATTGCCACACTGTTCTTGAAGTCACAAGGTATTTCTGAGATTTTTGGCTATTACACACGCCATGGATACACACACAGCCACTGGTACAACGGATACCTTTTCTCCCCAGTCTTTATGGACTGGGCAAACTCCAAACATGTCACACACTTTCTGCTTCCTCACAGCACAACGTGTCACTGCTCTTCTGGAGAAAGTGTCCCAGTCTGAGTCCCAGTTTCTATAAGCATCTTTTTCAACACCTTACTATCATGACCTATAACAGAACTCAGAAAAATTCTGTTCGTTAAAAATGACATTTTTAGACATTTGTACTTGGGAATTTGGAAAAATCAACATGAAAAATTGACTTCTGCTCAATTAACTTCTAAGCTACGGCTACAAAAATTTCTGCTCAAGCCCTTTTAACAAACCGTACCAAAGTGAACCAAAAAACAATTAAGCCATATCCTTTTTCTGCTTCTAAAAAGATCTCCAACACGATCTTAATTCCAAAAGGAAGTCACTTTTATGGTATTATTACACATTATTGAAAAGCTTGCAAACACCCTCTGTTTTTCCTAATGTGCTACACAAGCTTTACAGTTGCCACTTTTAGACCAACTGAGGTGTTCAAAAGACATAAAGCTTAAAAACTACCAACGTTTTTATAGTAACTTAACAACAATGGCACATAACCTAATAACCAGCTCTGTGAAGGCATACATCATTAATTCATTTTGTCCAACATTTTCTATCAAGAACTGTTGAAGAATTTATCACACTACACTCAGTATCAGAGTTGACTGGATTTCTTTCACACATGGATTTTATGTAAATTTTATACCATGTTACTTGGTTGCCTTGCAGTCAGCTTATTTACAGAGCAAGTACGTTCATTTCTGCTGTTTCCCACACTTATAAAAACAAAGTAACAACATATTTTTTCCAAGTTCCAGCACCATGAACTCTTACAAGCTCTTGCCCCACTGAGACTACTGGAGAGATACCTCTACCAGATATTTTTGTAAGAGATTAAAGACTCAAAAATAAACCATCACAATTCCTCATTAAGCAATTATTTTGGTCTGTTCCACCATATCCATGAGCTTAAATCTCTCAAAAAACTGTCAGTCCCAAGCATAAATCATTGTGTAAAACAAGTTTAGAGGATTACAAAAATAACTTCACTTGTGACAGCCATCAGAGACACAATAATTGCCACTCTCCTCTCCTTGCTTTAGTGTAGGGACCATTTCTTTACCATCTCACTTACAAAAATCCTATTC